TTGATCTTAGAAAACTAATTTCCATGGCTGATAGACGAAACCGGGAACTGGAGCGACAAAGGCACACACGGCAATACATCCATATACACTACTGCAAAAATCGACCTATATATGCACTAATTAAATTCAGGTATTATGTAGCTACGCAATTTTGATTGCAACGCATTGGACAAACTGTAGATCTCTAAGAATCGTTTTAGAGGACCGGCGTCGACACTAAAAAGTTGAAAAAGGGAACTAGAGATCTGTGACTGACTGAGGGAGAGGCTTAGACACAGAAGAGAAGACCTTGGCAAAAGAAAAGAGGAGACGGAGAGAGAGAGAGAGAGAGAAGGCCGAGCAGGCGATGTGAATCAGCAACCCATTAGGGAGGTAAGTGCAAAATTTTCAGGCTTTTTCGATGGTAGTGGAAGAAGGGGGTGGGCCCCGCGCGGGTCTTAGTGCCCGCCGCACGCCAAGTGGGACCCACGTTGACCTACAACAGCCTGGTCATGAGCATGCCATCACCCTTGCCTCCTCGTGTCCTCTCTTCTCTCCTCTCCTCCTCGTTCCTATGTCTGTCTCTTTCAGCAGACAATTACCTTTGGAATTTGGAATATCTTGTATCCAATGAATTGACGGATTTGGCCAATATAGGTCATTCATTGGATTGTATGATTGGAAGTTTGAGAATCTTAGTGAAGTTTAGATCGTAAGCTCAAAAAAATTTAGATGGAAGCAGAGTTACTGAACAAATTTACTGTTAAAGTTCTTACAGCTAAATATGTAATTGCTGAGCCCACACAAACGTAAGGCTGCCACCACTAAAATGTATCACTTGAAGAAAGAGAGAGAGAGAGAGAGAGAGAGAGAGATTATTGTGCATGATTACATTCCCTTGGAGGATCCATGCAGTTTTAACACGAGTTATACCATGTTGTGAAAACAGAAGATGACATGTTCTCAAGTCGTGCCCTTTTCGATAGGTAATATTAGTTTAGAATTTGGACAAAGTAAATTGAGCCACTAAGAAGAATCGAGTGGTTGAAGAATCTGGAAAGCAATTTATCGGCTCTCCAACTTTTCAATTCTATACGATCGATGCTAGCATTAAACAAGTGTGTTGGTTCTATCCTACCGAAAGACTCGAGTATGCAGTCTGTTGTTGGCATCCCTACATCTCTATAAACCTTTGAAAGCAGCGTGGACTTCCATTAAAATATTGTCAACTTGATTCACCACTCTACAGCACAGAAAACTCATTGCCCCTATCATTGTGCTACCTCTGCCTCAATTACAATATCTCACTTCCTTAGCATTTAATCTTAGTAATTCCTCTAATGGTGCTTTTATTTTGGATTTAGATTACATATCTTCACGAGATTGTCATCCTTTTCACAGTAGATGATGAACAACTGGAGTAGCGTTATTCACACAATGACCTTTGGCTACCCCGGTGAGTGTTTTCGTAAGATAGTAGTCCCAAGTCCCAAAACGACAGACATCTAAACTTGGAGAAGTTTACCGATTCCTCTCAGCTCTCCATCCTCCCCTTGTAGGTCAAAGGTGGATAACTTCCACAGCCCAACAGTGCTTGTAAGATATAGGACACCCTCGAGTCCTTGTTTTTTTGTTCTTTCCATTCAACCCAAACCTTAAGAAGCCATACCAAAGTCAATAGAAGAACAAGAGCACACGAGAGAGAGGGGGGGGGAGGGGTCGTGAGCGATGGCAGAAGATCTCCAGACCGGGATATGCAGTGGAGGGAGCTGGTGGAACCCTGAAGGAAGCGGCAGCTTTGATGCGCCAACCTCCATGTCATGCTCGACTGCAATGACTGATATGATCGGAGGAAGAGCCTTCTGTTGGAGCGCTGCGTCGGGCGATGACTCCGCAGGATCGGCCGGTGGTAGCTCCATCGCTTTTCAAGAAAGTAATCGTATGCTCCAACACTCGGATATTCGCCCTTTGTTGATCGATTCGGCCATCCCAAGCTTCGGCCTCGTCTCTTCCTCCATGAACTGGACTCGACCGTTATCGTATGTCTCTAGTATATGCTTGCTTAAATCTTAGTATTTTCGTGTAGTCAGAGATCACAGGTTTGAACCATCCGAAATTTAATGAAATAGGTATGGTGGAAGACCTGAGAGCAGCGGCCTTCATGCTATGCTCCAAGAGGATCTCGGCTCAAGACCTTATATCAGGCAGGACACGCCGGCTGTTTCAAATCAAGCTCGTACCGGCGCTGAAAGTTGGACCGCGAATCCGTCTAGCGACATGAACCAGAATCTCTTGGTAGAACAACACCATTTCAGCTCAGGTCACGAGTCCAGCGATGCTGGTGTTGGCAGCTATCAGTTCATGTATGGCAATCGACTGATGAATGGCTACCAGTCTCCGACGACCTCCTATCAGGGAAGCTCGAACGAGCTGTGGCAACCTTCATGGGCTAAATTCTCTCATCAGTTCCTTAAATCCTCTCATCCAAAGCAGCAGTCGAATAACCAGCTGCAGTTCACCAACAACACTCCCTTTTGGAATGCATCTGCGGCTACCTCAGTTGGTGAGATAAGGTCGGCCTTGTGTTCTCCAGCGACTTCGCAATTTGACTTGCAGCCCAGAACTATCTACCGTAATCTCACAGCTAAGGTACCGATCATCGATTCGTGTATCTTCATTCTGACCATTGAAGTTTTGGAACATGAGGCGTCTTTTGGGACGCTTGACTGTGCAGATGAATCCGGAAGGAATTCATGATTCGTGTTCTTCCTCGACCATGAAAACCGGAAGCGAGCCGGCGGCAACTAAAAAGCTCCGGACCGAGACACCTTCGCCACTACCAACCTTTAAGGTACGGTTAGACCAGTCGAGATTTTGGATCGATGATATTTGGTCTTTTGCTTCTGTTGCCCGTCACTTTTCATGTTATGTTAGCGTTCGCATTACATGTTTGCAGGTGAGGAAAGAAAAATTAGGGGACAGAATCACTGCTCTCCAGCAGATAGTTTCGCCTTTTGGAAAGGTCAGTGCTGTTTGTTTTATTTGTCTTCGTCTCGAAGAGCATTGTTAACTACGCTAGCAAACGAACTATTTGATGGTTATATTTTCAGACTGACACTGCATCGGTTCTCCAAGAAGCCATCGAATACATTAAGTTCTTGCAGGATCAAGTTGGTGTAAGCTTCTTCATCCATGTTTTCGTCCAGCTATCGTTATGTTTCTCGTCACAGAAAAATTCTTGCACCGCTAACCCCGTCTGAACTGCAGGTTCTAAGCAGTCCATACTTGAAGATGTCCGACAAGTCGAAGGATTGCAGTGAACCGAATCAAGATCTAAGAAGCCGGGGACTGTGTTTGGTTCCCGTCGCAAGCACGCACCCGGTGGCAAGCGAGACCACAGCAGACTTCTGGCACCCCACATTCGGAGGAATCTTCAGATAGAGATGATGATTACACCGTCCAGTGAGGGAATAGGGATGATGAAGCATTTGTCTGAACCCCACGATGTTGCAGAATGTAAGCCGAAGAAATGATATTTTAGATTAGGAGCAAAGGAATATGTACCGTATGTTCTTATGAATTTTTATTATAATAAAAATAATATACATATATACTGCCATCAGCCCCACTGTGCCCCTTCTTTTCATTAAAAAAATAAAATAAAATAAAAATAAAATTTAACAGTGGTACGGAATAATCGAGTATTAAATTAAACTTGATGATAAGATATCATCTTAAATTTAATTTAGACTCATGTAATATTATATATATATATATGATTGATAAAAAGAGATGCTATAGAATGAAAAGAGGTGGAGAGATTTGAAATATTATAAATTATTATATTTAATATAAAATTGGAGTATTTTTTTTCTATTCCCTTCTTTTGTTATGCTCTTCGATGGTCATCATATTTATTTTGGTAAGAGATTCAAACAAATTACTTGTGCAGACCCCAAGCCCGACCACCTCACTGGATGCCGTTCAAATGCCGCCTTCAGGGATGGGGACACATGCAGCAGCAGCCTGCCCCCATTTCGTTTTGGGATCTTTACTTTTGGTCTATTTATATTCTGTGATGATGTTAGTGGGACTCAGAGCGTGGCCTGCTTGGAAGATGGACGACGACGACGACGACTCCTCTAGTGCTTTTGCAGAACGTAGCATTCCAACTATTGGATGTCAGTCATCTCGGCAAAACCTTACAACTCCGTTTTTTTTCCTTCTTCTTCTTCTGTATATATTATGTATGCAAAGGCAGTCTCAGCAGCACAGGGCTTATCACCGAAAGCCGTGGTCAGATACAAATCCCTTAGATTTTACTGATTACTAACGAAGCTCATAAATGGCACAGCCACAAAAGAATGTGAGCCTGCAAATGGCTGTGGAATAAAACGCCTGCTAAATGTGTGCGAGACAGTGTCGCGGCCAGACCGCGTCTCGTCGGCTAGCCCAGCCCAGGCGTTCAGCTCGTAGCGCATCGGTGCCCCGCGTGGCCCAGCTCGACAGAGCGAGACCAGAAGAAGCGGTGTTTTAGGGATTTGTCGCCTCCATTTGCATCAGAGGATTAAACCTTGGTATTCAAAGTCTCACAGCTTTTCTTCTGTTCCGAAGAGAGATCAAAGTTCAGTTCGCCTATCCCAATGGAACACACCAGCAAAGGGAAGCGGCATTAGCAACTATTCCTAGGTCGCTGCTCATGCGCCCTCCGTATTCTGCTGCACTGTTGCAACATCACTCTCGCTCGCTCTCTCGAACGACAGCATGTCTGTATGTGGTCCTGAGCTTTCTTAATGGCCCTCCCATTGCATTATGGTATATGTAAACCAATTGCTGCTCCTTCTGTCGTACGTACTTCCAACCCCTAAAATGCCTCCCTTTAGGCAAGAACAGGATCAGAGCAAAAAGACATCAGCGATTCAGGAAACGTGCAGTATATGCCTCCGGTTCCGAGTAATAAACGTTGCCAGGTGGTCAACTCTTAAGCGTGTCACTTTACCATATCCACAAGTGCTTTTAATTCCATATGATACGGGATTAAGACGAGGAACGCTGAAATCTACACATACGTGACTAATATAAAGGTTCCCCAAACACTTAAAAAGACATCAATAATTGGAGACATACTCAGAGGGCTTTGGCGCTTTGTCGACGCTTGTGTTTTTTCTCGTCTCAGAGGGATAGCTTGAGCGAGAGATCGGGACAAGTCGAGGAGGCCGCAGCGGAGGAGGTTGAGATGGCGTCACAAGCCTCCCTATCGACAAGCTTGGAGGAACTGCCGTCGTTGGATGCGCTGCGGCTGTTCGGCGGAAAGAAGTCGAACTCCTTGATCGTCAGCTCCCTGTCGTTGGTCAATTTAGCCTTCCACTGGGTGCAGCCACGGTTCTGCATTCCAAAGAGAAAGCACCGAATCAACAGGAAGGAGAGGAGTGGGGTGCGACCGTGACGGAGCGATGGAATCGAAGGGAGTGGGAATCACCAAATCGACGGCCATGCCAGCAGCGAGATCCATGTCTAAGTAATCCGCGCCATTGGCCACATCGTCCCCTAGATCGTTGCCGAAAAGACGTTTCTTCTAATGGATCAAGTTTCATCAAAGATAAGTGGATGAGAAGCTAAAGAAAGATGGGAACCGGACGTGGTGGGGTTTGGGAAGACGGAATGAGGGGCTTACTCGGGCGCAAAACTCGCACTGAGGATTTTGGCATGAAGGGACCTCTAGAGACGGACTCCCGACCCGGAATCTGGCTTGAAGACATCGATCCCTGTGCACAGCTTGGATGGCGGAGGCAGCAGCAGCAGCAGTTCCGCCAAACGTCAAGGGTGCCTGGACGATCGAACAGTAACTTGGAAGGTAGTCGTCGGTGCGGTGGCTTCCGGAGAGGGCGATGGGAGCGCCGTATACGGCAGCCGCGGCCAGAGGGGTGAGTTGATGGTGAACGAGATTTCCGTAGCTTTTGGACCCGGGGAGGGGGTGGGGCTGGAGGAGATGGGCGTCGTCGCGGAAGGGACCGCGGTCGAGCGCGGTCAACTTGTTCCAGCGCTCCTGGAGGCGGAGCCGCTCGAGCTGAGCAACACCGAGGCCCCTCTGCGGCGGGCGCTTTGGCAAGACCGCCTTGGCTCCGCAACCCTTGCGACCCTTTACGTTGCCCGTGGGGGCTTCCACTTTTGCCTCTGCGGTGGTTCCTCCTCCTCCGTCGTCGTTTTTGTGCTGGTCGGAGGGCCAGAGGAAGAAGGACGTCGCCATCGTCGACGGTCTAAACAGAGGGCGAGAGGGAACAAGGATCGGGGGAGTAGGTGGGTATATATAGGAGGACGAGAAGAGACGGATCCAGAAAACCACAAGAGGGAGGGAGGCAACCGCGGGAACGACGGTACGGTGGATGCGCGAGGGAGCGGCCAGTCTCATAACTGAATTCTTGAGTGTGGTCCCCACTAGTAGGGCAGACACAGGGGTGGAGTATCCGAAATGATATGGAAGGCGCATAGCCGTCTCATGTACGAGGTGTAGACTGGCAGTGCCGGGGATGGTTAGAGTCGTCCGATAGGAACGTTAGAGATACATCCATGTGTGTGTACACGGTGCTGGAACGGGCATTCACCAAGTCAGGGAGGAGGCTGTGGGGTCATGGAAGAAAGGCGGGGGCTAAGAGTATGCGAGAGGCGATTGGACTGAACGGGACGGTCTACGGTGGATATGGTGATGACACTACGATAAGGAGAAAGATCGAGTGGGTATTCCCGCTCTCTCTTCTGGAATTCTTTTCGTTTGGTCCCAAAGAAGTTGACGATTGGTCTGGTCCAGCTTTGCACCGTGTCATTGAGCGTTACTCCTTTAACCTGGTAACATTACTGACGAAGTATCAGAGGGATCCCAAAACCCAACCCAACGGGACCATCAGAGAGAGACAGAGAGAGAGATATGTATATGGCGAGCCGGGCACACGGAACCAGTACTGCGAGGCAGCAGCTGCCTCGTCCAGTACAGACCGGGCGCCAGTTGCACGGCCATGCAGAGTTTTGGTTCGTGCGAAAAAGTCGCCGTCTACCACAAGGCGGAGCTGCAATGCCCCAAATCCATTCCCCTGCAATTCGAGGTTCAACTCATAAGTTGCTATATAATTATCACTGCGTCAAAGCCAGGTCGCACCACCACTAATCATGCTTCCTAGACCGTGATGGCGCCGAGATTCATCCGCATCTGACAACCATCTAGATCAACGAGTCATGAATTCTTCGATGTACCTCTACGGAAGAGTTTTCCACGGATTAAATCCAATGTCCACCAACACAAAATTAACTGCTGTTACCCACTCCCACAATATTGGATGTCGCGCGCACAACAAGGGTGCTCCAAGCTCTTGTTATCATTGCTGTTGGAGTCATTTAAGAGTGGTAATCAAGGAGGATTCCGAGTCAATGTGATGCTCCAATTATCTCACATCCGAGTTAATGTTTCTGAAGATAGTTCTGCACTTGCGGATAAGTTTCTTGGATCGAAAGGTCAACAAATCTTGTGTAGTATATAAGATATCGAGTTCCAGAATGCGTAGGGTTCTGCACCGATGATCCTGCTCTTGTCATCGTATGTGATGCTGTTTCTATATGTTTGCAACTCATTTTTCATGGAGTTGAAGAAGATACAGGCCCATTCTGGGTACTAGGCCTGGGCCTAAATACCTCATTTCAGCATTGACCTCTGTATCCTATCGATTACACCGGAGGCCCTTCCAAGTAGTAGTTTTAGGCAGGACAAGTTCAGGTGTATGTGCTACTCACCTGTACTGTATGCAGCCTAGGTGTTGGGTGGAAGTGCAGCTTGAGTCCTCGAGGTCGGGTTTTCACACACTTGAACTGCTATGTTGTAAGTGAGATAAAAGGGGTGGCCCATATATGGACAAAACACGTTGTCCCGATACAGCATTGCTGCAAATATCATTACCGGGAAGGTAGGATCTCGAGATGACAGCAGAGTGACATCGCCGAGCATCGACCTGAGCTAGAAGGTTGCTGTATACACGATTGGACTAATCGGTCCTAAAGGACAAGCAGCCGAGAAACACTACTGAATAGGTGAATTACCTGAGCCTTCTCATTCATCCATACTGGCAAGACATATGGATGAAACGAGCAGCTTGGAATTTTGTGTGTCACATGAGCGTACTGTATATCTAAGAGGAATATAGTTTTAGCGAGAATGAACTGACAGTTGCATCATATGGCTGCTTGCAACGAAAGAGATGTGTGTAGCATCATCTCCGAGACGCATATGTTTGTCCAAGCGAAAGCTGTCTTCACGTGTTACTCCACTTTGACATTGTCTTTTTGTTTTATTTGTTTGGGAACGGAGAAGACAGCTAGCCTGTGGTGTGTGAGGTTGGCCAACATGCCTCGTAGCCCATCGAGCCACTTCCTTGTCGTTCAATGCGGTTCTGCTCTCCTTTTCGTCTCCACATGTACCGACTGCCTTTCTCTGTTCAGGGTCCACAGCCTTTTGAGAGATATCCTTCGATGACAAGCAACCCCTGCGAAGATGCCACCGTAGGCCCATAAGGTTAACTTGAAGAAGAACGAACCTGTGTGATGAAATTTATCTACTTGCAACTTTGTAGTCTGGATGTTGCACTTACCAACATTAGACGCAAGCTTCTATGGAGCCTCCAGTCGAAGGAAGTCGTCAGGATTCAAATGAATCATCAGGACTGGCTACTACCTCATCTTGAATGGTAGAACTTGGACCTCCTCTAACACAAGCGGTGCGTTTACCTCTCGGAGATGCTGCATTTGCTTTGGAGTCGGATAACTTCAACGCTTCTTACTTAGTTAGCTGCTTCAGGTATTGATAAGATGCTGCATTTGTTTCGAGGTTATGTAACTTCAAACCTCTGCGATTGGTTCTGCCGATTGAGGGATTGACTGATGCATTTGGTAGCTACGGTTGGCAGGTAATGTCCAATTGGAATTAAGACTTAGAAAGGACATGGTTAGTTAGGAAATTTTGAGTAGTCACAAGAAGATAGGTACGTAAGTGCAAAGGGACAGACAGGAGGAAGGCCAAGCTGGGGTTCTTCTTTTGTTTCATGCATGTCCGGTGCAACAACACCTAAAGATTTGAGGGGTTTCATTCGGTTGAAAGAAGAGGAAGAAAGATGTTGTCTGGGAAATCAAACCCTCCAAGAAACAACAAACAGGATATGCATCTGAATGACACAGAGTAGTTAACACGAGAGCAAGAGCAATTCCCGTGTTTACTTCATCTTATATGTTCCTATGCAAGTGTATGCACACGTATGGTATAAGCAAGTAGTACTAAGACAACCATGCAAGCTTCCGAGTGCCTCGCCGCCAGAGCCCAGATACACACACACACACACACACACACGTTGGATCTCTGGAGTGTCTGATGCTGGCATTGCCTAAGACTAGCTGTCCTGCGAAGCACAAGATCCAGATCCGTACAGTCCTGGCGGCATGCATCCAACAGAGTGATAGTGCTGCAGAATGACAAAGCCACAAGCATCCTGATTACTCTCTTCGGTCTTAACTTGCGGTCCCGACTCCCTCAAGATCCATTGCTCGCCTCTGAAACTAGTCCTGTGCTGGTTTACTGTTTGAGCCATAAGAACGTGAACCAAAAAGGTTGCCCAAGTTAAGGCTCTCCTCAGCCACGAACCAAAGGCATTCAAGCCACTTGTCTGAACAACGTGGAACAACCATGTGAAACTTAATGAGGATCTACAGTTGGAGTTTCATGAGATACAGAAGATCATCACAAGTTCATCACAACTTTAAAAAGCAACGTCGAGTTAGGTCGAGCATGGTAACATAAATGCAATGTCTGCTTCAAGGGAGATGGTGGTTTATTTGGCTGCATGGACTGGTAGATCCAGGACACATCATCAACTAGAAGGTGCAGCTTTTCCCTCTTGCCTAAGCTTCACTGCCCACCATCATCAAGTTTCGAAGGTTCTCTTTTTAATAAGGCGTCTCCCTTAGCAGCTGCCTCATGATGGCGATGCTTACAAAGCAATTCTCTGATTAAAGTTTTTGGAGAAAAAACGATGATGAGGTCGGTTCCGATGTACACATTAATCATGCATATACCATAAGGTAAGAGTTTTTAGATTGGGAAATATCTTGCTGAGTTCAAATGAAAAAGAGTCGCAGCATTTATTAAGATCGCTATTTACTCCTAGAGTCTACTGCTAAGGTGGTCCGAGAAGTAGCGGTACTAAAGATTCCATGTCCCAACCATCCTATAACCTGCTCAGGAATCGAAGTCAATTCACTTGTGATCCGCCGAGAGTGCTTGCTCAGAGCAGCATTACACGCGTAGTACATTCGGCAGTAAAAAAAGAAAGAAAAATTCACGTCAGTGGGCCGGGATGATTGAGAAGAGCAACAGGCATGCCTTACCATCATTACAAAAAGGCTGGAACAGATGGAAAGCGGAGCTTGGGCTGCAGTAAGTACAAAAGCTGTGAGTGGTGCAGCGGGGCATTTAATCAGTGAAATTATGTGTTACCGAGGAGGAATTTTGTAATCTCATTGGACGTCCTTACCCCGACGGGACATGTCAGTGTCAGTAGCAGCACTGTTTAGATTCTTCTTTCTCGTGTTGGCCACGTGAACTCACCTCCCATTCGTTTCGTGCAGCTCTTGATCACCCCATTGGTTGAACAGGGAATGACAACCGCAGCAAAACAACATGAGCACTTCAAGAATCGACTCCATCGCTGCAAAATGACTGACTGGTTGTGGAAACGAAGGATTAAGAAGCTACGTCGACAACTGAGAGAACATTTTCCAGTGGAATACCTTACATACATATATACATACGAACTCTCTTGCATGGCCTAAGGATTAGAAACATGCTAATGGAGCTACCTGCCTAGGCGCACTGGTTCAGGAAGTCATAATCTATAGTAGGTTCGCTCTCTCGTTCAACTCACTTTTATCCCGTCAGGCTCACCATCAACTATGATCTTATCCTCCTTTCCTTTCCTTTCCTTTCTTTCTTAGCCAAATATGTTGCCTTCGCCCACCTTGTTTGAATTTTTTTTTATTTTCTAATAAACAATGTTCTAAAACATCGTTTAGATGATGTACGAATAGCCCCTTACGGTCTAAGAAATTATTTTGAACTTACATCGTCCTGGATCGTGACTTCATCACAGACCAAAGCTTCCACTTTGGTGGTTCCGTGTTGTTTGGGTCTCTTTGGTCACATGGTCGTCGAGCATGATGCGCACTTTTGAGCGCCAGCATCGTCGAAGGATATATTGGGAACTTTAATACAAGTATCCCATGCATGCATGCAATGTACGCGCGTAGGCCGTCGTGCATTGCAACAATCCGGACCAAAGGACCATCGGACTGCGCCACTGTGGTTCCCTCCTGCCCGACACGTATCACGTTCCGTTCCTTCTTCGAGGCGA